TTTCCTTTGCCCACGCCTGCCACACGCTTGATCATCAAATATACGCTAATGCATGCCTTCCTGTGTCTCATTTTTGCCCTAGTCCATAAAAGAGCTGGTTGGCCAGAGACGGGTAAGCAGATGCGTCCCGACCCAACCTAAGACAGGGGGGATGTCAAAGCTACATCCTCACCCAATGACGGGTAAGCGGTTTGGGGATTGCAAGCATCTCAACCTAAGACAAGCACAGCTCAGCTCATTTAAATAATACAAAAAGGGGGACACCCTTTCTGGCTTGTTTCATTACTCTTCTCTCTGGGGGTGCGCTGGCTAACAGCTGATACCTAATTCTCATAAGACCACAGAAAACAAGCCAGGTGGTTATTATATCAGGTAGAAGCCCATTTCCTAGAATTCTCACTCCTTGACCTAGCAGCCTTTGTCCTCCCTGACATGAAGGGTCTTCCACCTTTACACTGAACAGTCTCCTCCCTGAAAGACTGTGTGGGCTTCCTACACACACACACACACACACACACACACACACACACACACACACACACACACACACACACTCTCTCTCTCTCTCTCTCTCTCTCACTCTTTCTCTCTCTCTCTGAGTATCTTTTGTTCTAATATTTGGTCTTTGACCCTGGTTTCTGACAGAGAGCTCCTAATTGGAATTTCCTGGGTGATAGGAGACTCTTAATGAGGCAGTTCTCCCTGGGCTCCTGGATGCGGGCTGGTCACCAGAAGCTTGTAACTTTCAGCTGCACTCCCCATCGGGGGAGGGAAGAGGAGCTGGAGACTAAGTTAGTAATTGATCGTGCCTACTGTGATGAAGTTTCCATAAAAATCCCTGAGCTTCCGGGTTGGTGAATACATCTACTCATAAGGAGGGTGATGCACCCCAACTCCACAGGGACAGAAGCTCCTGTGCTCCAGACCCTTCTGGATCTTGCTCTGTGTACCTCTTTATCTGGCTGATTATCTATATTCTTTATCCTATCCTTTATCATATAATAAACTGGTAAATGTGTTTCCCTGATTTGTGTGAGCAGTTGTAGAAAATAATCGAACCAGAGGAGAAGGTCATAGGAATCTCTGATTTATAGCTGGTTGGTTAGACGCACAGGTGACAACCTGGACTTGAAATTGGTGTCTGAAGTGGGGAGGTGGAGGTCTCATGGGACTGAGCCCTTAACCTGTGAAGTTTGTGCTAACTCCAGGTAGATAGAGTCAGAATTTAATTGAATGTAGGACACCTAGTTGGTGTCTGCAAAGAATTGAAGAATTGAATTGTTATGGGAAAACCTGCATATCTGGTATCAGAAGTGAAGTATTGAGAGTAGTAATAGATCAGAGAAAAAACAGTTTCCCTTTAGTTGGTGTGGGGAGGAGACGGAGTTTTTTCTACCCACCCCTCTAGCCCCCAGAGGAGCCCAGACGCAGGGTGGACACAGTGAGCCAGGATCCTGACAGAGGGCAAGAGAAGGAATAGATGGGTTTGAGGAAAGTTCCACAGGCTCCAGGTATGTATGTGTAGTGAGAGGAAGACGTGCAGACTTAAAGGCAGGTTCTGGGTGTGGCTTTGCCACTCATAAGCTGTAAAGGCTAGAGGGGAATTCCTGTAGGGCCTCTTTGAGGATTCAACCCGATAAGTGTGTGAAAGGGCAGATTTCAAATGCGAGTACTCCATAAATGTTATTTGTGGAGAGAATGAAAAAGAGAAGAATGTGCTGCACTTCTCAAATAACCACGCTGCTCACCTAGGGCTGTCGCCCTGGGCTCTGATCTCAATTTTTCATACATTCTCCCTGGGTTCCCTTCTGAGATGTCCACCTGCCACAAAATGCAGTTCTGGGGATTTTCTGAATGGCCTTAGCTCCTTCAGAGCTACAACAATGACATAGATGTGCCTGGCCAGCTGCATGGAGCTGAGTAGGGGAAGGATGGGATGATTTGGGGGTGGGGAGCCTCATAGTATAGGGTAGGGAAACTGGAGTCAGAATTGCCTTTTTTCCAGGCATACCCTTTTCTTTTTCCTTTTTTTTTTTTTTGAAAAAAGATGACCGGTAAGGGGATCTTAACCCTTGGCTCGGTGTTGTCAGCACCACGCTCAGCCAGTGAGTGAACCGGCCATCCCTATATAGGATCCGAACCCGTGGCCTTGGTGTTATCAGCACCACACTCTCCCAAGTGAGCCACGGGCCGGCCCTTTATTTCTATTTTTTATTTACACTTTTATTTTATTTATTTATTTATTTATTTATTGTCTTTTTCCGTGTCCAGCAACGGATCGCAACCCTCAGTGTCGCGCCCGTACTGGACCGGGACCGGCAACGGGATCGCAACCCTCGGTGTTGCCCCCGTGCCTCGCTCAGCCAGTGAGCGGGAACCGGTCTGTATGTGGGATCCGAACCCTCGGCGGGAGCGCCTCCGCACTTCGCAAGCGGCGCACTAGCACAGTGCGCCACCGGGCCGGCCCCTATTTACACTTTTAAATTTTATTTATTTATTTATTCTTTTTTTCTTTTTATTTTTTGGCATACCCTTATCTACGTGTTTCCTAGCACCCAAGGCTCTGATGGCCTGATCTCTAATTTCCTTTGAGGTTTCTATTTTTCACTTATGGACTCCTTTCCCAAGGTGGAGTTCAACTGCCCTGGCAATCCCAATCCTGCCAAATGATAGCAATACCCCTCACCTGGGTTGTAATTTCCTATGTAATGACACTTTCCTGGACCTCCCTCTTGTTCCTCTCTAGGTATGCACAATGATTAAATTTTTTTTTTTATTTTGGTAAAATATGAGTAATATAAAATTTACCATTTTAATCTTTTTTTTTTTTTTGGTGGTTGGCCGGTATGGGGTTCCAAACCTGTGACCTTGGTGTTGTAAGGCTGAGCCATAACCATTTTAACCAGTTTTAAGCGTACAGTTTAGTGGCATTAAGTATATTCACATTGTTGTGCAACCACCACCACCATCCATCTCCAGAACTTTTTTCAACTTTTCAAATGAAACTCTGTACCCATTAAACAATAACTCATCATTCCCATTTACCCCTAGCGACCATCATTCTACTTTCTATCTCTGTGGATTCGACTACTCTAGGTACTTCTCGTAAGTGGACTCATACAGTATTTGTCCTTCTGTGTCTGGCTTATTTCAATTAGCATAATGCCTTCAAGGTCCATCCATACTATAATATGTACCAAACCCTATTTATGTCCCAGCTGGTTTGGAGTTTCAGGCATCTTTCCAAACTCTCAAGTTACTGGGGCTATAAGGAGTTGGGAAGATTAGTGGAGAGTCAACGGGGTCAAGCCATGGTGTGTTGGTAAACTGTTGTGTAGGGGTGAGGGTTCTAGTTTCTGCTCTAAGTCTTACCTTTCTTGAGCCCTTAAAGCACTTTAAGTACTTTATCTTATGATATTATCATCCTCATTCAATAGATGAAGAAAGCCAGTTTCAAGGAAGTGAACTGAGGATCAGACATGTTACATGATTTTTCCTAAGTTAGAGAACCAATAAGTGCCAAGGCTGGTCCGACTGGGCTTTTACTAACACACCACTCAGCTGTATAGGAAGGTAATGAAAACTGAAACGCAGAGAAGGTGGACAGCCAGGAGCCAGAGCGGAGTCGTTCCCAGTCCGGTTGGCTTCCAGCCGCACCCACGCGGAGCCTGGTGGCGCGACTTCTCGGCCGACTGCCTTGTGCGCAGCCCTTCCCCATTGGTCGTCTGTCACCGGGCCCCATGCTCATGCGAGGGCAAGCAGCCAATCAGCGCGGCTCGTCCCCGCCCAGACGTCCCTCGCTAGATCGCGTTATCGCTGTTGCTCCCGGGAACGCCGGGAGTTGTAGTCCCAAGATGCACTTCTGCCCACAGTGAAGGGAGATTGAGAACTACTCGACCCAGAGAGCCGAGCGCGGAGCGGGTTCCGCTTTTAGGAGGACCCCGGCCAAAAGTCGGCGCCAAGCAGGAACCCGCGTCCGGGAACAGGTGAGAGATGTCTCGTGCTGGGACTAGAGACGCGGGTCCGAGACCGGGCCTTGCCTCAGTAGCGATACTCTGAGGCACGGGAAGCCCAGCCTGTTGTGTCGGAGTTTCTCTGTTTCGGGCGTCTGTGGGCCCGACTGGCTACCCCTCTGGGCATGCGGCAACTGCCGAAATCTATGTGCTTTCCGGGAACCTCCAATATGCCCCTCCAGTATGTTTACTCCTCGGCTCCGAGGCTATCTGCGCAGTCCCAATGCTTCCTGTGAGACTCGGGACGCCGAGTCCCAGCGCTCCTACCACATATCCGCAGCATCCCCGGGTTCCAGCCCCAATACTTCTTCCTTGGCGCGTAGCTCAGAGCCTGGGAACCCCTCTCCACCGCCTTCAAGGGGAGACCTGGGTTCTAGATTTGGTTCTGCCTCTGCTCAGCTGTCTTCCTACCTCCTAGAGCCTCAGTTTGGCTTCCGTAAAACACGGTGATTTAAGGGTCTTTCCTGTACCACCTCCTCCCCCAGTCTTGTGCACGCAGCCTTGAAGGAATTCAGTTCTGGCCGTTTTATCTTAAGTGGCCATCAGTTGGGTTTCATTCACCCATCCATACTTTTTGTTCCCTGCATATTCTTCTTTCTGTAATTTCCCCCAAATTCAGTCCACAAGAGGGTAGGGCATTGTGGGCCAAAGGTAAAACGTTGGAGTGGGAGTGATCTGGGGAGCTTCCGCCATGCATCTGCTTTCGGTGCTTGCCCCTGCAGGGAGTGCTCTGTGCCCCCTCTCTATGCCACCCCCACGATGCCCCTGTCCCGCTGGCTGAGATCTGTGGGGGTCTTCCTGCTGCCAGCCCCCTGCTGGGCGCCCCAGGAGAGGTGGCTGGGTTCCCTACGGCGGCCCTCCCTGGTGCACGGGTGCCTAGTCCCGGGGGCCTGGCACAGTGCCCGCTGCTGGTGCCAAGTGTGGACAGAGGAGCCTCGGTGAGTGTGGTTGGGGTGAGGGGCCTTGGGGAGGGAAGCAGCTGATCGGGTTTCTGACTTGTCCTCCCTCTCCTCAGAGTATTTTGCTCCTCCCTCAGAATGAATGGAGACCAGAAATCAGACGTTTATGCCCAAGAAAAGCAGTATTTTCTTCAGCACTTCTCCCAGATTGTTAAGGTGCTGACTGAAGATGAGATGGGGCACCCAGAGACAGGAGATGCCATTGCCCGGCTCAGGGAGGTGAGAGATTCATCACTTGAGGGAGAGAGCCTTTGGTTGGGCTGCATGTGTGTAGGATTCAGCTGTGGCTTTTGGGGGACTTTTGACAGATGTGTGAGAAGGTTTTTACCTGAGTGACTCTTTTGTGCTCTGGGTGGGGCTTGAGCAGCTATACTTACTCAGCCCATCAACCTCACTTTTGGCTCTGATAGAAGATGAGACATCGAAACTGCTTTGCATAGGGATGGAGGCCTTGAGCCTGGTGAGTCTTTGATTTTGTATCCTGAAATCATAAGGCGCTACCTTGGCAGAGACCTGGGAGGAAGGCAGTCTGAGGTAGTCCTGCCTCCCTGGGTCCTAAGAGAGGGTTATTGTGTCATCAGAAACCCCTATTCCATATTCCCCCTCCCCTGCAGCTGACTGGTACAGGGATTGAACCCAGTCCTTGACTAGAGTGCCATGCTCTAACCAACTGAGCTAACCAGCCAGTCTGGTTTGGTTCCTTGTACTGGACAGCTGCCAAAAAACCCCCCCCCCAAAAACCCAAAAAACAGCCAGCCCTGAAACCCCTATTCTAGGACACAAACTATTGCTGTGATATTTAAGTTGCCTAATTTTATTTTTCTTTTATTCTTTTGGAGTATCTAGTAAAATTCTTTTTATAAATGATGTCTGTCACATCTGTCTGAGGGGGACCAAGGACAGGGGGACTTTGTCTACTCTGGGATGGGGATTAAAAGGGAAATCTTCCCAATTAATTAGGTCTGGTTGAGAGCAGTGCAGCAGAAGGCAAGGGAGAGGCTCCAGCAGGAGGAGACACCACTGGAGGAGTGTGAGATGGATCCTCCAAACTGAGTCCCCTCCAAGCTCTCCTCTGGCCAACTTTGCTGGGGCCCTGTCTTTAATACAGTGAGGGAGGCTTTTCTTTTCTTTTTTTTTTTTTTGTCTTTTTTTTTTGTGTGTCTGGCAACGGTTCGCAACCCTCAGTGTCGCGCCCGTACTGGACCGGGACCAGCAACAGGATCGCAACCCTCGGGGTCGCACCTGCACCTCGCTTAGCCAGTGAGCGGGAACCGGTCTGTATGTGGGATCCGACCCCTCGGTGGGAGCGCTGCTGCGCTCCCAAGCGGCGCACTGTAGCAGTGCGCCACTGGGCCGGCCCTGAGGGAGGCTTTTCTTTTCTTTTTTTTTTTTTGTCTTTTTTTTTTGTGTGTCTGGCAACGGTTCGCAACCCTCAGTGTCGCGCCCGTACTGGACCGGGACCAGCAACAGGATCGCAACCCTCGGGGTCGCACCTGCACCTCGCTTAGCCAGTGAGCGGGAACCGGTCTGTATGTGGGATCCGACCCCTCGGTGGGAGCGCTGCTGCGCTCCCAAGCGGCGCACTGTAGCAGTGCGCCACTGGGCCGGCCCTGAGGGAGGCTTTTCATTTGCAGATAGATTGAACTCTGGGTAAGAGGAGGTGGTTGGGAAAGTACAGGTGGGCTGTCAAGGGAAAGTCTGGGAGAGGTAGGGATGGGGCAGGACCCTGAGAAGGAGGGAGCCAAGCAAGGTAGCCATCCTCACAGCATGTCCTGAGGTTTCCCTGGGTTCAAGCCCTGTTCTGGGCGTAGGAGCAGAATTTAATCTGTGTTATGGAGCTTTAAGGTTTACCGAGGAAGACAATGCAGAGAGAGCATGACTGGGTACTTGAGAACTCTCCTATCTGTGCTCCAGGACTTTGGGGAAGGAGCCAAAAGAGTAGCAATTCCAGAGGCTCCCTGGAGGCGGAACTGGGGTTGGGAGGATAAAGTTAGGTGGTGGGTGGAAGTGGGAGAGGGCAAGGTGAAATCTCAGAGTAGCTGCTGTGTGGACCCTGATGCCCTGTCCCTCTACCCTTGCCCCCCAGGTCCTGGAGTACAATGCCATTGGAGGCAAGTACCAGCGGGGTTTGACAGTGCTGGTAGTATTCCGTGAGCTGGTGGAGCCAAGGAAACAGGATGCTGATAGTCTCCAGCGGGCCCTGACCGTGGGCTGGTGTGTGGAACTGGTGAGAAGGGCAGGAGAAGGAAAGGTTTCCTAGAGTGGGGGTGCCTTGGGTAGAAAGAAGAGGGATGGGCCTGAAACTTGTTTCTGGGTTGTGTTTGTGTTTCTGTGTGTCTTGTACGCTACAGCCAAGTTTATTTATTTATTTATTTTTGGTGGCTGGTGGGTATGGAGAACTGAACTCTTGACCTTGGTATTAACAACACCATGCTCTAACCAACTGAACTAACCAGCCAGCCCTACAGCCATATTTAGATAAAGTGAATGACTCCAAGGGTTAACAAATGTGGGCAATCTCTTTTGCCCACAAAAGAGATAGATACATAGATAGGGTACATAGATAGCTGTAGATAGCTGTGGACTGGGGCCTCAGAACTGGGCAGAAGCGTCAACTCTTTCCTTTTAGCAGAGGACAGCCATAAAAGTGATGTAGTTCTTCCAAAAGGTTATTCTAAAGCAGAGATTGAAAACTGGCAGTTCACTGATAGTTTTCAAAAATGTTTAAAATTTAAGTCCCCTAAATTAAAGAAGAGATTTCACACAAAAATCCAGATTTCTAGCATCATTTGGAAAATTGCAAGAGCTGAGTCTGTGTTCCGATATAGCAACAATTGGCTGAAGCCAAGTCAAGGCCGATTCCCCAAGAGGGGGCGCATGCACTCCTGTGTATGTCTCTCTGGTTTGCTGCAATCCCCACATCTCCTGTCTTCTATACCCAGCTCATCTGGCTCTTGAAGGTGTATGGTGTGCTGGCCTGGCCTGAAGACTTCATTAGTGGCAGAAGGACTGGATTCCAGAAGGGGTGCCAGATCTGAGGAGGATGCCAATGAGCTGGGCAGGGAAGAGAGTTTAGGACTTGGTGAATGATGGAAGGGTGGAGGCTCCTGACCGAGGAGAGGAGCAGCTGGCTCAAGGGAGGATATGATGAGCTCAGAGTCAGCTACACTGTGTTCTTGGTATGGGTGCAGCAGGTGGAGCTGACTGTCCTGTGGGTGTTGGCAATTCCAGTCTGGAGGATGTAAGTGAGATGCAGCTGGAGAATAAGGCTTTGCCTCCAAGGAGGTAATAGGACAGTGGCGAGGTAGAGGGGCCTGAGTGATGGGGATGCCCCTCTAGGGATCAGGATGGCCCGAGGAGCCCATAAGCATGGAGATGACAGGCAAGGAGGGAAGGACAGGAGGATCAGGGCAGAGCAGGGGAACAGCTATGGGGGCCAAGGAAAGCGAGAAGTTGAGGGGCTAACCCTGGCTGCACGCTAGCTTCACCTGGGAGGGTTGGCCCAAGATGCCATTTGAGCTATTCAACATTCTCGTTACATGGATAATTTATAATTTCTGCTTCTGTCTTCCATTTCTTCCTCATCTCCTTCAACCTCTTATTTTTCTATTTCGGCATTTGCCTCCTAAAAACAAGGACATTAGCCTACATAACCACAATATTATCACATCAAAGATATTTAACATTGATATAATTATATTATCTAACGTATATTCCATATTTAAATATTCCTAATTCCTCACAAAAATGTTTTATATGGCTTTTTTTTTTAACTTCTTTATTTTTTTTAACATCCATGATTCAGTCAAGGGGAATGCATTGCATTTAGTAGTTCTTTCTTAAGTCTTTAATCTAGAATAGTCCCTCCACCATAATCGACTTATTTATTTATTTTAAAAAGATGACCGGTAAGGGGATCTTAACCCTTGACGTCAGCACCACACTCTCCCAAGTGAGCCATGGGCCAGCCCTTTTTTTTTTTAAACTCCTGGCTAGTTGTTTGGTAGAGTAGCTCCCAATCCAATCTGGATTTGTTTGATTATTTCCTCATGATTACAGTCAGGCTAAACATTTTGGTAAGAATGCTACACTGGTAATATGCTATATTTCCCATTACTTCCCACTGTGGCACATATTTTTAAAAAAACTCCCCGATGCTGAGGTACCACACCAATAAAATTCTCATTTAATTAATCTGTGGGACTCGGGCACTGGTATTTTTTTTAAAGTCCACCTAATAGAAGTGCAGATGGGGTTTAGAATCACTGCTGGAGGGCAGAGGAGACTGAGGGATGGAACGAATTCTCTTGGAGACTATCTTGGTTGAGTGGTGGTGGCTGAAACCAGATTGCTCTTGCAATCACTCTCGGGAGGGGTGGTGGGTGGGTGGCTTTGGGGAACCATGCCACTCTAAATAAGCACAATGGAAGTAAAATACGTATCTCCGAGGAAAGCCCAGACCCTGCCCTCTGCTCCCTGTGGTAAGGTCAGAGGTAAAGGTGCAGATGGATGCCTCCTTCCCCGAGGACCTCCCCTGCAACAGTAGCAGTGATTGCAATGGCCCTTTCCACGCAGCCCACACCTGAGCTGGTGGCCATGTTGCATGCTCCTTCAGCAGTATGGATCCACTAGAGCCCACAAGATTAGGATGGGGTGAAGTTTTAAAAACCATGTCTTGGAAAGCTCTTTAAGTAACCAGAATGTGTAGCCTTCCTGCAAAAAGTATCATGGGGGACATTAGAATGTTTCATTCTTTATTTCTTCATTAGAGAAGTATTTAGGAAGGGCAGGCCCTTGGCTCACTCGGGAGAGTGCGGTACTGATAATACTGAGGCCATGGGTTCGGATCCTATATAGGGATGGCTGGTTGGCTCACTGGCTGAGTGTGGTGCTGACAACACCAAGCAAAGGGTTAAGATCCCCTTACTGGTCATCTTTAAAAAAAAAAAAAAAGTATTTAGGAATAACCCACTCTGGGGCTAGTGCTGTGCTAGGCTCTGGGAATGCCAAGAGGGAGAATATATCCCTGCCTACAAGGAGTACATGGTTTAGTGGGAAACCCAACACATTCAGGTACCTTCACATAGTCTGGCACTCAGAAAAGTAACCCATTGCTGATGCTTTAGAGTGTTTAAAGATGCTTAAGGTCCATTGGTAAAAGTTACCAGGGGTGATTTCAGTTCTGTCTGATCAGACCTGCTCCTCAAGAGGTAAGGCTGTGTTCCTGGTCACTGGAGTGTCTAGACAGAGTGCTGGGAGTGACATGGGATCTTTTGTTTAAGATGTTATGTAAAGTCAAGTCACATAAAGAAATCTTACTTGAAGCATTCATTGCAGTTTTTTGCAAGAGAAGAGTATAGTGTATGAAGGTGTTTTGTAATCTCCCTGTTACCAAGGATAATCTAGGGCTGATTAGAGATGTCAGAGATTTGCTTTAGGGCTGGCCAGTTAGGTCTGTTGGTTAGAGCATAGCCTTCTAACACCAAGGTCACGGGTTCAGAGCCAGCTGCCAAAAAAAAAAAAAAAAAAGATCTCCTTTAGTCTCTTCTTACTATGAAAACAAAAGTATTTCAGTCCCATTTTATAGTTGGAGAGTCTCAGCCAAAGAGGTCGTGTAACTTTTTTTTTTATGGGACTAAGGTCTCATAGCACAGAACAGAAGTCTTAGGCCTCCCCATCCTGACTTTTATTCCAGCTCACAGTGACTATCAAAAGTAGCAGTTCTGCACCAAGGTTCAGGGTTCAATCCCTGCACTGGTCAGCTACAAAAAAAACAAAACAAAACAAAACAAAAAAAACCACCAGCTGTGTTGCCGCTAGAAGCAGCAGTACTAAGGAGCCCTGGGGGTCTTATTCCTCTCCTCCTTCTAGTTGCAAGCTTTCTTCCTGGTGTCCGACGACATCATGGATTCATCCCTCACCCGCCGGGGGAAGATCTGCTGGTATCAGAAGGTAAAGTGGGCTGGAAGGTAGCAGTGGGCATGGGGACAGGCCACAGGGAGAAGGTTACATACAGCCTGTTTGGGGAGACAGTTCTTGGTATGAAGCTAGGCCAGAGATTGATTACTCGTTTTTCTCTGTGCGCCTGACAGCCAGGTATAGGTTTGGATGCCATCAATGATGCTTTACTTCTGGAAGCATGTATCTACCGCCTGCTGAAGTTCTACTGCCGGGAGCAGCCCTATTACCTGAACCTGATTGAGCTCTTCCTGCAGGTGTGCTGCAGATCAGGGCCCAATGCCCAGAGGCTGCCACAGTAGCCTTGGCCTCTATAGGACATTCTTGTCTAGCTGTTTTCAGAGCACAGGAAAGACCTGTGGTTGCCTGGAAGGTGGTGGCAAGAAGGGCTTCTCTGTCTCTGTGTGACTGGAAGAAGTGGTGATAGAGGACTGTGTGTATATGAAAATGGGCCTTGAGTTTCTCTCCACCCAGCTGCCTTTCTGACTCTGCCCAGTTGTCAGCTGGTATGGGGTGTGGGGCCTGCCTGGGATACCAGGGTTCCTCATATCTGGAGAAAGCCTGGCTCATGGGCCATCTTCCTCTTCCTCAGAGTTCCTATCAGACTGAGATTGGGCAGACCCTGGACCTCATCACAGCCCCCCAGGGCAGTGTGGATCTTGGCAGATTCACTGAAAAGAGGTGAGGGTGAGTGGGAACTGTCTGGACAGTGAGGAAGGGCTGGGGGGGGGGGGCTTTGCCCTTCTGAGTTTACCTTCTGCCCCTACTCAGGTACAAAGCTATTGTCAAGTACAAGACAGCTTTCTACTCCTTCTACCTTCCTGTAGCTGCTGCCATGTATATGGTGAGTGAACCTCCTTACCCCTTACTGCTCTGCTGATGTGGGCTTTTGGACAGGAAGGCATAGAGCAGACAACTTGGACAATCTGGTACCCCCAGTGGATGGCTGTGTAACCTTGATCAAGTCACTTAATCTCTCTGAATCTGTTTCCTTAGCTGTAAGATGGGGATAAATTCCTACCTCACAGGACTGTAAAGATTAACTGAGGCAAGGGATATGAAAGTGCTCAGCCCATAATAAGGGAACAATAAATCCCACATCTGAGTACAGATGGGAGTGGGGAGGAGATAATTCACGCTGAAAGGGAGAAGACTGGATTCAAAGGCAGTAGGATTAACTGTCTACCCTGCTCTTGCTTCTCCAAGTTTCCTTTTCATCCTGAAGGAAGTTGTAGGTGGCAGAAAGATTAGGTAGAGGGATCCGAGTGACCTGGGGATTTATACTTGTGAGAGAAGAGATAGTCTGTGGTCTTCCACAATGGATTCATCTGTTATGATTCCCAAGAAGTCCTAGCAAAAAATAAGTGGAATAGAGGTTGGACCATTGGTCAGGACTTTCTAGATCAGGGAAGCCAAGGATGTCTGAAAGGAGAGATGATTTGGGGGCTGCAGTTGGGCAAGACCTATGGGAAGAAGCAGCCAGGAAGATGAAGGCATCTCTGGGGTTTGGCTTATTAATCCCCTTTTCCCTGTAGGCAGGCATTGATGGGGAGAAGGAACATGCCAGTGCCAAGAAGATCCTGCTGGAGATGGGAGAGTTCTTTCAGATTCAGGTAGGAAGACATGAGGCAGTGTAGAGGACAGGCACCAACTTTCTTCTTTCCCTGCCTGGAGCCTATTCATTGCTCTATTCATTTCTGTCCTCCTGTCCAGGATGATTACCTTGACCTCTTTGGGGATCCCAGTGTGACTGGCAAGATTGGTACTGACATCCAGGACAACAAATGCAGTTGGCTGGTGATTCAGTGTCTGCAACGGGCCACTGTGGAACAGCGCCAGATTCTGCAGGTGCCCAAGAGAGGGCCAGGGGGATCCCTGAACTGATAAGAAAGGGGATAGAATATGATTCTCAACCAGAGGCGATTTTACCCCCCAGGGAACATTTGGCAATGTCATCAGGCATTTTTTGTTATCACAGCTTGGTATGTGTGCATGTGCTACACGTATCTGGTGGGTAGAGGGCAGGGATGCTGCCATCATATAGTGAACAGAACAGCTCCCAAAACCAAAGAATTATCTGGTCCCAAATTTCAATAGTGTCAAGGTTGAGAAACCCTGGGGTAGAGGAAGCTAAGGCCTGAGCACAAGAGATGGGAATGGGAAACATGGGATCTTAGATTCCCAGAGACACTTAAAAATTGGAGGCAGGAATGGAGTGAGTCGCTTTGGAGCTGTTCTGGAATATGTGAATGAGGGGAGTGGAAGGGTCCTGGAGGCTCTGGCAAGGCTAAGCCCATTTTCTTGGCTCCAACTCCTTTCAGGAGAATTATGGGCAGAAGGAGGCGGAGAAGGTGGCCCGGGTAAAGGCGCTATATGAGGAGCTGGATCTGCCGGCTGTGTTCTTGCAGTATGAGGAAAACAGTTACAACCACCTTATGGGGCTCATTGAGCAGTACGCTGCGCCCCTGCCCCCCGCCATCTTCCTGGAGCTAGCGCAGAAGATCTACAAGCGGAAAAAGTGACCTAAAGTCTGCAAGGGCATGGAGGGGATGCGCTCAATAAATTATTGTGTAATCTTGTGGTTGTGTTCGTGGTTGTGTTCTTGTTCGAGCCAGCCGAGATCCCGGCTCTCTCCAGGACGGGGTGGGGGTCGGGGGTGAGGTGGCTGCAGGGAAACCAGGCCCTTAGGCATTGGCAGCCTTGGGACTGAAAGGACTGAAAGCTTAGGACATCAACGCTGCGAGCTGGTTCTATATGGGTGACACAGGCAAGACGTCAGGTGCGGGGTGGGGGAGGGGCGTGTCTGAACTATGGCACGCCCATGCGTGAAGGGGTGCGGCTGCGCAGCCGAGTGGGTTGCCTGGAGCCCCTCCCCTCCGCTCTGTACCCCGCCGGGCGGGGACCGCGGACAAGCTCAAGGCTGGGAGCAGTTCCAGGAGGACCCTGGTGAGGAGAGCTCGGCCCGTGGGTGTGCATGGATGGACATGGGCACGCAGGGTGGGGCAGGAGAGGGGAGCAGTAAAAACGAATAGGGAAGGGGTGGGGTGGTGGCTGGATGACGGAGACGAATGTGGAGAGAATGGACTGATACACCGCTATCCCAAGCGGGGTGAGGGCACACCAAGGCAGCAGTCTGGGGCAGCCTGCAGACGCGGAGTTGACGTGCTGACAGCTGCTCCATTCTCTCCCTCCAACCCCCCCCCCCCCCCCCCCTCCCCCCCTTAAAAAAAAAAAAACCCCCCCCCCCCCCCCCCCCCTCCC